ATGATTATTTTCTGAAATACCAAAGATGTGATGCAGGGAGTTATGAAGATCTTATGAAAGATGTATCTGTTTAAAGAAGCCAACTGGAATGAGTGTTTTTGTTCTCAGTGAATGTAAGGTAAATTTAAAAAAAAATGTTTTTAAAATGTTTTCACAAACTCCATTGTTAAAGCTGGTAGTCTGACATTAAAAATCTTTAAGAACTGAAGGGTATATCTTTGAAGATGTCTTTTTATATGATGAAATTAAATGTTAGCATTGTGCTGCTACCTTGCTGATGTCATTTCTAATGTCTTTTGCTCCCATGGTGAAGAATGAAATAGAGAATGCACGGGATTTACAGTTAGAAGATGTAAATGACAATTCTCCAGAATTTCTACAAGCTCTCTATAACACTTCAGTATCCGAGGTGGGTTATGGCCAATGTTAATAATTTTTCATGTAGTATTTGAAATTGCTTTCTGAGGCCCAGTCATACCAGATAATCACATGCACTCTTACATGACTCTTCTACGCTTTCGAGATTGGGCTGCATGCATCCCAGCTGGAGGCACAAGGTGAAGAAGGAACATTCTGCTACCTGAACAGAAATAGAAATTAGAATTAGTTTGCTTCTTCAAAGGGACTGGTTACCTTTTCCTGCTTAGGAAGAAAGAAGCAAGACGTCAGAAGCAAGAACAAAATGGGATTGTGGCTGAGCATTTGATATTCTTTATTTCTAGGTATCTGCAATAAATTCCATAGTTATAAAAGTGGAAGCTCAAGACAAAGACCTGTCACCTTTGTTCAGCCACATTAGTTACAGCCTTTGGGTGAGTATCCTTTGTTTGCCCAAAAGTGAGCACCAGTGTATATTTCATACATAGCACAGCCTGTGACTGGATCCAAACGTATACTGCTGTACTGCAATGTTGTTATTACAAACCAGCAAAGTGACCATCAGAACCATCAGAAAGATCACTTAACGTTAGAACAGTATGATGACCATAAAAATTGTTACTACAAGACCTGTCAAGTATGCAAGAGGTGTGAATCTATTTCTTTAAGTTTGTGAAATGTTTTGCAGCATTACTAATGTGCAGCTAAGGAACCCTTTGTCTTTATTAGAAACAGGATTGAAGCAGTTTCCCCCCTTTCTAAAGATAGTACTACAAAGATTTGTTGTTGATCTTTATTACTGTTGAGGAGTATGCATAAGCCACTGGAAGTAAGGTTATTTCAACTAACTTTAGGTATCAGCCATGGAGATCTCCGTCTTTGAGCTTGATACCTCTGTTTCTTTTACAGTCGGGAAAGGGGAAATGATGCCATTTGTGAAATCTTTAGTTTCTGACCATAAGATGAGATAAATCAGATGGAAACTCTAATGGCACTGAGAGGAGTGGCAGTCAAATGAGTAGAAAAGGACTTGCATTTTCCAGAGTTGTCATTAGGGAGATTCTCTGTCATTTTTGAATAGTCCAATAATAAAAGTGGCAAGAGAAAAGAAAATGTATTTCATTACTGACTGTGTAAAACATGTGGTTGATTCATTTTTCAGGGCCCAAACTCTGATTACTTTTATATAAGGGAAGGAGATGGAAACATCATGGTGAATAAAACTTTGGATTACAACAAGGTCAAACATTTCAATTTAACAGTCCAAGCAAAGGTATGCTATAAAATTTTAAAAAAGAGTAGGAATCAAGGCAGTTCTACAGTGATGTCTCCTTTGTTATATCTTGTTTTCTGTAAGTCTATAATCTAGGGATTCAAAACTCTAAGTTATAGAGTTTATGGACAAAAGTTCTGTGTGCATTTTGGGTCATACTGCAGGCAAAGTAGTTCATTCTTAATACTTGAGTTACTGCATTAATCTCCTCATAAAAAATCAGCCCAAGTTCCTTACTGTGTGCTTTTAAATATTTACACCGTATGTTTATTCTCTGGAAGATCTAATGTCCTATTATTACTGCAGCTTACCACCCAGTCTTTTTTCTGTTTTTGTTTTTTTTTTTTTAAGATTAAGTTATGCGTTTGCCTTCTTAGGTCTAAAAAGAATAATTTAGCAACATATATTTCTAGTATTGAGCAAATAGTATGGCTACTTCAAATGCACCATTACTACATCCTGCACGCTTCTCTCTAAATACATGTCTGGTACAAAATGAGTAACTAAGAACGAGCACCTTTTGATAGTATTGTTAATAGAACTGGATTTCTTAGTGGAAGAATTGGATAAGGTAAGAGTTCTCACAGCAAGAATGTAGACATTACAAAACACAAATAATAATATTCTGCTGTATTCTGCTTGTACTCTATCTGTATTCTGTGTTTTCTGTATTCTTATATTCTATTGAAAAATGGCCCTTTCATCACACTGTTTCTTATTTTCTTCTTGGAATACAGGAAAGATTTGGAAACAACAGCAATACTGTATCACTAATAATTGATGTACAAGACTATGACACACTGAACCCCTATTTCAGTCAATCAGTGTACAATGGAACAATCAGTGAAAACGAGGTAAAAGCTTTTCACTGAATGCTGTAGATGTAAGTGAACTATTCCTGTCCACAGAGCTTTCCTCTCAAGGAATGTTTCTCATTCAGCTGCTTACAATTGAGGGTTAAGGAGGGCTGCCTTGATTTGTGCCAACTGGTGGATTTTATGGTTATTGACTGTAGACCTCCAAGTACCAGGTAGGCAGGACAACCATACGAATTATGAAGCTTTCTGCCACAGAAACAGATTCTTCTCAGAAGGGAAAAACAAACAAGCACACACACAAAAGAACAACAAACACCAAAACAAAAACAGACTTAACAGGAGTTGCAGTAGGGCTTATATTGTAAACTTGGAAATGTGGTTGACTACCCATCAGTCCTTGGGTTAGCTGCATGCTGTCAGCTTTAAATACTGTAATTCCTCTTTAAGTAAGCAAAACAAGAATCTAAATTGTAAACTATGGTGTATAAGTTTTTTCTCTATGTAATTTCTGGTTTGAATGTATTTGTGTAATTCAGGCCTCTGCATCCACTGCCAAAGAAAATAACAGTGTAGCAGCAATAATAACCCACTGAAGTTAAATTGGATAGTTCTCTTTCTTAACCCTATTTATCATCATCTTCATGTTAACGTGTTAAATCACCAATACTTGTGGTGTTATGCCTTTGGTATCACTTTTGTTAGAAGTTCACCTTTAATTGTCTGAAAGGAATCCTTTAGGTCTTCTGAAATTGTTTTATCTTTAAAAAAAGCTGTTGTTTTTATTAGGGATACAGTCTAGACTCACATATTTTTAATCAGAAAGGAATAGAAAGAACTGAGATGTTCAGCGCTGTTAATATTAATTCCATCATGACTACTGCTTCAGAGTCTGGTGTTTCTTAAAAAAAAACAGGGTATATACATAAAGTATTTTGCTCATCATTTCACTCTGTAAAGCCAGTATAGCAGACAAATATTTTTTTTCTGGATCCCAATGATTAGATTATAGATCTATAGGATGGCTTGGATTGGAAGGGGCCCTCAAAGTTCAAGTCTAACCTTCCTACTATGGGCAGGGTCAACTTTCACAAGACGAGGTTACTCAAACTCCTTTCCAAGCTGACTTTTTACAATCAGAACGGTGACTTACTTAATGAATACATTTAAGTTTGTGTATTTTCTTTTTTTTTTTTTCTTTTTTCTAGTTGGGTCCTTTGTCTATTCTTCCAGAGAAGATATTTGCTAAAGATGGAGACACCGGTATAAATGAGAAAGTATATTACAGCATCAAGCTAGGTAAGAGCTTTTATCTTCTTCTAGATGTTCAAGCAGTGGCTTACGATGTCTGCCCTAGTAAGGAGAATGATGAAGTACAGTATACAGGCAGAAAATGTCTTAACTGTGTACATCTTCACTGCAGTGCTGCTCCGCAAGCTGAGTTTCAGTCATTATGACAACTATTTAAAACTATTTTAGAAACATCTACATGTTCATAACCTCTTCAGAGTAAATTTCTGATTTAAAATGTAAGACAACTTGGAATCTTCTATTCAGGATTTTCAGTCAGGGCCAGCTGGAAGTATCAGTTCCATAGGGAGACTTTCTTTCTGACAGAACTGCTAAAAGCTCCTGAGATGCTAAATTTGAGACCATTGAAATGTGACTGAATTTTCTAAAAATTGTTTTTAGAATGTGGTGTCTGAGGGACAGGAAAAAAAAAAAAAAGCCATATATTTGGAATGTCTGTGTAGTGGAAATGCACAACCTGAAACAGTGACTGAACACCTGGTGGGAACTCAGGAGCCAGGATCCACCCCTTCCCAGACCTCATTTAAGGGTTGGCAGTGGAGGTGAGGGTATCTCTTGCTAGAGATCCCTTCCTACCTGAGGCAAGCAGCTCTTCAGCTTCGTTTCTGCATCTGTGGCTGCTGGATTTGGACTCATTCACTGTGACTTAAGACTTTGCCACCCTGCTATTGCCATCCCGTTGTAGCATTACAGTCTGTTAATTTTGCTGTGACTAAATCATAAAAAAGGACAGATTGGCCTTAATGTTATGCTTTGTTTTCATTAACCTGCAGTATTTTGTTGTTTTTGTGTTTTTAGTGAAACCTCCAGCCTATAGCAACACCTTTTCAATCAATGCTGATAGTGGAATATTGGAAGTAAAGACTGCAATTGATAGAGAAGAATGTCCTTATCTTATTGTGGGCATTGAGGTAGTCATTGTTATCCTGTTCAAGTCTCAATTTCATAAACTAGCATAAGAACCTATGTTGCTGTTAATAGTGCTTCTCATGCCAACGTTAAGGCACAGTTGGCATCCATTGTTTACATAATCTACAACACAGAATAAAGGGATTAAGGTGGAATGGCTTGATGTTATTGTATGTCGTATATGGAATTTACAGCTACAAACTCTGTTTTTTAGGCAGCACAGCAAGACAACATTCTGAAAACAGCTGATGCTGTAGTACTGGTTACTATTGAAGATGTAAACGACAATCTTCCAGTTTTTTCACAGTCAAGCTACAATGTCTCAATTCTAGAAAATTTCCCAAATGGAAAGGAAGTTCTTCGAGTACAAGCTGTTGACAAAGATGAGGTAAAATGAATGCAGTTTTGGTTGTTACAAATACTGTACTTCTGAAATAAACCTTAAAGTGCATTTGCACTAAATGGGTGTGGTGAATGTTGGTATAGATATGTATTTTTTCTGAGTACCTGCATATATTTAATGATAACGAGCATAATTTAACTTCTTTGAAGAGGAATGTATTGCAGCCCAAGAGTAAATCTTTTTTCTGCCTCTGAAACTCCTCCTGGTTTGCTGAAGGTTACTGACATGAAAGTACAGAAGTAAGAAGTAGACATAAAGCTGCAAGTAGCCGTCAGCCTCAGTGATGTATTTCTTTCAAGTTTCTCAGTCCAGTTTTTGTGGAACTAAAACATAATTACACCTGAAGGTTAAATGCTCTCCACCTGCAATGAAATATTAAGAATAAAATATCCTAATGGAATAGCTTGGTGAGTGTCCTGTTTAATAGCAAATGTAATTGATGTCATTACTGCTTGCAGGGAGGCTTCCAGGGAATGTTCAGTCTTACTCCAGCTGATAGTCCCTTCCAGATAAGTCAAGGTGGGATTCTAACTGTGAGGAACTCCACACTGTTGGATAGGGAGCAAATACCATCTATTCATCTACAGGTAATAAGCCCACTTCTTTGCAAAGCAAGCTGAGACAAACAGATATCTAAGCATGAAAAGAGGTTGACTCTCTCTGAAGTGAATCAGTGAATCAGCAGCTTACTTGAAGAATCAAATCCAGACTTCAACTCTGGAACTGTCTGGAGAGAAATAACACTGCAGTGATAGAGTTTATTCTGCTTGCAATTGCTGCTCATTCTTCCTCCTATTTATAGAACATGCATTCTAAACAAAACAGTATCTTTACTGCATCATTTTCAGGTCACTGCCAGAGATCATTTGTCACCTTACGATGAGGCACAATCTGCAATCAACATATTGTTGCTAGATGAAAATGACAACAGCCCAACTTTTACAGACACACGATATGAACAAGTTATTTTCATCAATATGACTGCAGGAATGCCCATTCTTCAGGTACTAGAAGTATTAAGTACAAATGACACTTTCATGTGAGTGAGTTCTTGCTTTGGTTTGTGTAATGGTCTTTCTGAATACGGAGATCTTTTCTGAACTTCCCTGATTTCAAAAACTGTCCACTGTTTTCTTTAAAACCTTGTATCTCTAGATATTCCATAAAAACAGCATCATAGAGGTTCCTGTTGTATCCCAGGTCATGAATGACAAAGGATTTTTTTTTTTTCTTGATCTATCATCCTGAATTCTATGAACATGAGAGAGAAAATAGATTTCTTGGACTTGGCTGTTTGCAAGGTATTTATTGAGAACAGAATGTTGCTGGAGTCCAGAAAATGATGTAATCGTAAAATTTGTTGAAAGGTTGTTTATGCTGAAGCATTGTATTTAATTTGTACGTACAGACTTTTGTAAGAGAGATAAGAGAATGATATTAATTCATAAGTATCTGCTCCATTAATGATTTTTCTCTGCAGACTACACAGGAATAAGAAATTCTGTGTTTCTTAATAATACCACAAAAATCTAGAGTAAAACTACTTATTCTGTAGGTTGCTGCTGATGATCCAGATGATGGCATGAATGGAGCAATAACCTTTGTCTTAGCTGGTGGCAATGAAGGTGGATACTTTGAACTGGATAAAGCCACGGGACAAATCAGTTTAAAAGCAGTAATCCCATTAAGAGTCAACGAGAGTAAGAACTTTGTCCTATGGGTAACAGCGACTGATGGTAAGGCAAGACTTCAGTACAGCTCAACACAACAATCTCAGATGAAAGTTTTGGGGTTTTTGTTTGTTTGTTTGTTTTGTTTTTTATTTTTTCATTTTGTTGGTGTTTTTTCTTTCCCTTCCTCTTACGGAATGTTTTCAAGATGGATGATATTTTAAAAAACAAAGTCTAGGAGCCTATTTTCACCTATTCTTATTTGTTAAACATGAAAAAATTTGTCATACTCATCCAAAATATTACCTCTGTAACTCTACTTTCTGATCATGCTCTTAAATCTGTTTGCTTTATATTATTTTGCAGGTTTCCATAGACATAAGTCTCATATCTACCTTTAACTTAATTATTGACTGCTTTTGCACAGGACAGTAGGCTGATACTCAGGCATATACGTTATAAATTAGAGGAATTTTAATTCCTTTAAATTCTAGAAATGTATAATTCAGTCTATTTGCAGGTAGTAAAATAAAAAATCAGTGTAATGAGTAACTTGGTCTATGTTCTCACATCCATGTGGGCATGGAGAAACTAAAACGGAGATGCCGAAACCATTTTCAGGATGACTAGAACAAGTGTAGTTTCCTTAAACATATTTATTGAGAGTTTCTTTGGTTTAAGAGAGTAACAAGAACTCGATGAATAGTCAATCTGAATAATGACAGAGGTAAATGTAGCCTAGGAAGGATATTCCTCTCCTGCATGAGCATCTGAAGTATTTTCATCTTTCCAGTGTTTCTCTCTCTGATTTTCTCAATATGTGCTTTGTGTCTTCAAATCATGATTCTGTAGATAAAATGAATACTAGCAGAAGAACAGTTGCACAAGAGGTGCACTGGTCTATGTCTGTCTGTGCTAAATATTAAGTGTTCAAGAGTGCATTCAATTTCATGTACTGAAAGTGTAACATTTGATAAACGATCTGATCTTCATTAGGACCTCTCAGCAGTGCCGTAATACAGTAAGGATGGGGGGAGGGGAGGAGAGGGGAAGCAAAACAAATCAGTACCAGTGGAAATATATATATATACATATATATATATATATATATATATATGTATGTATGTATGTATGTATGTATACTTTTAGGCAGAAGACATTTTGTGTGTGTTTTCTTTTTTTGCTAGACAGTTTTCTTTTAATTGCAGGTGGCACAAATCCAAGAAGTTCATCGGTGCCAGTGCACATCTTTGCGGTTGGAGATTCCAGACCTCAGTTTATTCAGAAAACATATAATGTGTCTGTGAAGGAAGAGCTAGTCAGTCCTGTTGAAGTGGCAAGAGTAAGAACAACTTTATTTTATCACTTGTGTAGGATGTGGTAGTTATAAGGAAATTCTCTTTCTTACCTGCTCAAAATTTTTATATCCCCTTGAATTATGCTTTGAATCGAATTTATTTTTGAAAAAGGAATTTATTTTAAATTGAATTTATGAATTTGCTTAAGCTTCATTTCTATTACACACTGATCTTGTCTATCATTTGAAGCCTATAACCCAACAAAAATTTAAACAGTTATCTGCTACTGTCCAGCATTGGAAACAACCCCCATCACCACCATCACCACCTGTCCTCACCAGCAAGTAAAGCAAAACAAAAGAAAAAAAAATTAACCATGGAACTTATCAAAAATAAAACAGTTCAACAAATAAACCACCAAAACTCACAGCTAGAACTACTTGACACATTTAAATCTCATTCTAGCTCTTCATTGCCTTTAGACATTCTACAAAGACTCCAGTGGCCCAAAGGTAAGCTACAAGCAATATACACTCATCCATTTGTGATACATATGAGACCCAGAGACATGAGGTACCAGGACTCCATTTTGTAGCTATTAGAAAGCTGTCAGAAGGACATTTTCTGAGAAGGCTCTAGAGAACTTGTCTCCCATTTTGATCCAAAAATGCTATGCACTTTGATAACTCCTAGTTAGATGCAATTATGAAGACAGGTGGAAGGTTTAATACCGAATCAGAGAGAATACGGTGTGTTTCAGTGTTATATTTTTATAACATTGAGTTAGTTCATTTTTTTCACTTTTCTTTTTGAAAAGGAAGGCAGAGCTGAAAGTTAAACTGAACTCTATTGTTTTCGTTATGCATTTTGTTATTTACATTTCTGTCCCAGTGATGTTCCAATAGGAGACAATGCTCTCCAGCTGTATTTTTCAGTGTATAGTGTGGCTTGATTCTTATTTTCAGTAAGTAAAACTAATAAAATGAATTTGAACATAGTTAAAGCTACAATTCTTTTTTAAGTGGTGGTTTATTGGTTTGAATTCTTTTATGGATAATATTTTATCTTACACAGGTAAAATATGAGTCTCTAAACCCCCATATACCAATTATACTGAGCGTACTGACAGAATCAGCTATATTTGATGTTGACGTCAATGGAACCATCTGGACAAAAATCAAACTGGACTATGAATCCCAGAATAATTACACACTAAATATTTCCTTGTCAGATGGAATTACTACTGACTATGCTACTGTGTTTATCCAAGTTATCGATGTCAATGATAACAGTCCTGTGTTTGGTGTAACCAACACTACCATTAAGATTCTGGAGAACGCACCAGCTGGAACTTCTGTCACCAGCGTGCCAGCTACTGATGTGGATACTGGTTTTAATGGATTAGTGGTTTATACTCTGAAAGGTGCAGAGGAAAAAATGGATATTGATGGCTCAGGATTAATTTTGCTGAAGAAGGAATTGGACAGAGAAACGCAAGATATCTACAACTTAGAAGTGATTGCTAGTGACCAAGGCCAACCCAGACTTTCTACAGTTCTCAGTGTAACAGTTGTCATTGATGATGTGAACGACAACCCTCCAGTCTTCTCATCAAGTATATATGAAGTGAGTGTCCCCGAAGACAAAGCACGTGGAAGTGAACTACTGACAGTATCTGCTACAGATTTGGATGCAGGCACCAATGCCCTCGTGAAGTACAGGATTATCAGCCAAAAACCTCTAACTTCCTCACCAGTGTTTCTTGTCAACTTGACCTCTGGACAGTTCTTCCTGAGCCAGCAGCTGGATTATGAAACCACAAAGCAATTTGAAGTAGAAGTGGAGGCATCAGATGGAGGGCAGCCAAGTCTTAACACTAGCACGCATGTTGTTATCCGTGTACTGGATGTCAATGATAATCCACCAAAATTTAATCAAGCAACTTATGATATAGCTGTGGTTGAAAACATAGAAAAGGGTAGCCCTATCTGTACATTCAGTGTTACTGATGATGATGAGGTAGGTACCAAATTAATCTCATCTTGACGAATCAGGGTAGCATTTTTCTTCTTTAAGAGTATTAGATGGGCTAAAGGAGATTTTCTTAAATGGCTGACAATAAATACATTCTGTGATATGAAAACATCATTCTGCTTTCTATGGAACTAGCAATAAAACGGTTCTTATCAATGGAGTTAAGACCTACAAAATAGTTTCCTGGCTATCTCAGAGAATCTAGGAAAAAATAAATGCATGTAGACTGGGACAGAAGTTGTTTTTCTGTGCCTGTGCATAAGTGATGAATGCATGTATGTCATACCATATAATAAGCAACAACAGAAACCTTAAACGTTATGGGAAATAATCAACTCTGTTTTAATATTGCTTGGTAACTTGTTTCTGTCTTACAATATGTTAGCAATTTTCTGTAACGAAGTCAACTTTCTCCCTGATGAAACTCTTACTAAGAGGAAGGCAGTTCTAAAGCTGATACAGTTTATTTTTCTTTAATAGAAAATGACACTATTTCATCCTGCTTTTTAAAAAGTTGGGTTTTTTAATCTCCTTTATTAATATAGAAATTTCACATGTAGTCATGGCACTGGTAACTTCGTTTGGAGGCAGAGATTTCTGATTTGCTTATGTTTTGCTATTTTGTTTTTATTTTTATTTTTATTTTATTTGTTTTTATTTTTTGTTTTGCTTTTATGTTTTTGCTTATGCCATTTTTAAAGAAGTGTAAATGTATCTCCCAGATCAGACTCCACTAACTGTGTTGTTGAGGACCCACTGTAGGGATTGGTCCTAGAAAGTTTTAGGAAAGGAATGGGTGGGTCTTAAATAGAGAATCCTACAAAAACTTCTTACTTTCCTCCATTTCTCTTTGCCTGAGAAGTTCCGTTATTCCTGTAGCTCAGGTTAGAAGG